TTTTTTTTTTTTTTTTTTTTTTTTTTTTTTTTTTTTTTTTTTTTTTTTTTTTTTTTTTTTTTTTTTTTTTTTTTTTTTTGTGTGTGTGTGTGGGGGCGGGGGGTATTGCATGACTATTTGAAGGTTGTGCAACTAATGCGGAAATTAGAATATGGTTATTCTTATATTTAGGGGATGGGTGTAATACTTATTGAGTATGAAAAGTGGAGGGGTTTTATTTAATTGTCTTGGTCTATTTTTGCTGTTAATGAACTCATTGGGTTTAGTATAAAAAGGATGTTAGCCTTTTTAAACTCAATTACTAAATAGATGAATTTACATGTTGTAGATCAACATGTTTTGTACAGTAATCGTTAAAGCCTGTGCATTTAAGTAGAGTTGGTTCAGTCGCTAACTGATGAATTTGGGGAAATTATAGCTTTAGTTATTTTCGTGACTGGTTGAGGTGTAAACTGTGGTTTATTTTATTCATTATCAATATGGGTTAATAATTTCTAATTCAAGCATAATTTTTTGGATAATTATTACCATTTCAAAAGTTGATGATTTGATCTCTAGCTTCGTAATGGTTGAGCTAAAAGGAATAGTAACTAGTGATTATTTTTTGAATTTCGCCATCACTTAATGTCATACTTGAAAGTTTGATAAAAAAAAACGAGCAATTTCTTCAAAGGGACCTTGTGAGTTAGTTACATCATTTTGCTAGAAATTAGCTTCAATTGTGCCTTTTCAACTTATTATCTCTTAAGGTATTTTGACCTGAGAAGTAGAAGACTTCAGTGAAGTGTTTTATCCCAGTAGTTGATGGTCGTTCATGACAATAATCATGTTGATATGCCTTTTCTTGTGGTGCTAGAGCTGCTAATCCGTATCAGGACCTGTAGGATTGAGCTTCAAAGTAAATCACATTATGGATCAAGAAGCGCATTTCTGCCGGAAGTTCACAAATATGAAATCCCATTGGGTGAGAAGTTTTTTTTTTACTATTAGGAAGTCGCTTTTACATTTAAATGTTATCCATTGAACACCTAGAATGATTTTCCAAAAATGATTTGCGTGAATGATTTTTCATGATTTGAGTCTTATTGGAGAGTTTTTATATTATCGAGGACACAATTTTATGAACGAGAAACAACTTCTCATTGATAAAATGAAAAGGAAAATGATTAAAGGATACGAACTCCCCAGGGGAGTGGAAAAAGGAAATAGAACCAGAAAACAAGCAAGATCATAAAGTGATTACAAACAAGAGAGAATAGCCAAGAAACAAAAGGGACTCATCAAACCAAAGCTTAGCTCCAAACTCAAACAACAATCACAATAGCTGAAGATAAAATAAAAAATAAAAATAAAAACAAACAAGAAAAAGCTGGCCAGAAACCTCTTCCAAGAATTAACAATCTAAATTAGAAAATTCGAGATCAAAAGCACCAAAACTTGAACTGCCAGAATAGAATGCAAAGACCGTAAAAGAGCTCTCTAAAAAACTTGATAAAAAACTAATCTTTAAGAAGTTGGAGAAAGAATTTCTTGTAATTCAAGGCCACAAGCTTCGCTAGGGACTGAAGGGGGAGGAAGGAGAATCTCCTTACCATTTCCCTGATAGAAACTCAAAGGCATGGGAAAATGAATCTTCAATCTCCATATCATCAAAGTGATTAACCATTGGCTCCAATAGACATTCCACACTGCTTAGACTAACTTGAGATTCAACATCAAAGTCATCACAATGAGGAGGAAAAAGATAAACTGTGGGGGCTTTCATCGAGTGAATCACCTCATGAGTAAAAAATGTATCTTTTAAAGATAAAACTTTAGGGCTACTAGAAGGGATTGAAGGCTTTGATGGTACTAATGTTGATAAGTTTTGACTACTCCTTGTCTTACAGAGGAGATCAAGAGACATGAACAATTTTCTTAAACTAAATTAGGATCTATAACATTATTCCCAATGGGCGACTGAGAAGAAATTATGAGCTCACTTCTTCGAGTATGATGTAATGATTTTTAACCTTTTTTAACATATATGGGTTTTTCGGGCTTGAGATCTTTAATGGATGCCTTAAGGGGGAACCCATGAATCTTAGAAGGTGGTAAAACACTGATCCTAGATGTGAACAATGGATGCCTTAAAGGGCTGAACAATTTTCTTGAGGGCAAGCACAAGGCTCTTTGAAGCCCCTTCATTCAAAATAATAAAACCTTGAGGGCAAGCACAAAACTCCATAGAGATGACTCCCAACCTAACTAGCTGTCAAAATTTCCTTCAAAGAGCCCTCCAAATCTTGATGGCTTTATTATTCCTCTCTATCTATAGTCCCCAGAGAATTGAGTAGTAACCAGCCTACCATAACTTCCAATGTACATCGTAAGTGTGGATTTTGTAGCACCTTCTCTACAATAGAGCCACCATCTTTGATCCTAGCACCATTATTAGTTATGAGAGAAATAGTTGCTCAGAGTTGTCATCAAGTTCCACATATTAAGCTATCATGTACGGATCTCAGGGTTAGATTGTTGTAGTATTTTGTGATTGTGGCTGCTCTTCATGTTGCTTTCTTCCAAGAATCAAAGCTTACAATGGTTAGATTGTTGTAGTATTTTGATTGTGGCTACCCTTCATGTTGCTTTCTTCCAAGAATCAAAGCTTACAATGGTTAGATTGTTGTAGTATTTTGTGATTGTGGCTACCCTTCATGTTGCTTTCTTCCAAGAATCAAAGCTTACAATGGTGGACATAACCTCGGACAATTATTTTATTTTATTTTATTTTTTTTGAGTTTTAGATGAGTGTGCCCAGTGACTTTTGGTCTTACCAAAATCACGTCAAACATGCCTTTTTGTATTTCCTGGTGTTCTCTAATGATCTGCAAGATGGCTGTGGTTCATCTCTTTTGTAGACATCCTTTTGAGGAGTAAAGCTAGAACCTATTAAGGCTCTTCTTTGGAGAGTTTGGTTTGGGAGGAATAAGAAAAATTTTCCGTAATTCTCACATTTCCTTGGGTGTTTTTTAATAATTTACTAGTTAGACTCCTTACATTTTGTGGTGTTGGCCAAAGCCTATTTTCATTATGACACTTACAAATTAGGAGCTTTTTACGCAAATCCCCTGGTTCCGTGTGTGTTTTCTCATCCCTTTTCCTATTCCTCCTTTTTAATGCATCCTTTTGGTTTCCTATATAGGAAGTTAAAAGAAATGTAAAAAAGAAAAAACTTGAAGATGTTGCCCTGTTTGATAACCATTTGATTTTTAGTTCTTGAAAATTAAGCTTTTAAATATTACTTTGGTATAAGTTTCTTGTTTTGTTATTTACTTTCTGCCATTGTTTTCAAAAACCAAAAGCCATGTTTTGAAAACTAAATAAAGTATTAAAATTTGTTTGTTTTTGGAAGATGACTAAGAATTAATATGTTACTTAAACAAGAAAAAGATGAAAATCGTAGTTGAGGAACCAGTTGTAAACAAGCTTAATTTTCAAAAACCAAAAACAAAAAATCACATTGGTTATCAAACGGGGCTGTCATAATTCTTATTAAGATTTAGTTTTATCTTTCTTAATTGATTGAAGTGTAATGGAATTTTTAGGATCTTGATCAACTGCTGGGTGATGCCAATCAAGTAGGGGAATTCCATGCGGCAAACAATCTGCCAAATACATGTAAAGTTTATCTTCTCATTATACATATAATTTTTCCTCGTGTGGTTATATGTTAACAAATTTCATATGTAGTCAGTATTCTCAAGCCTCTGTTTCCCCTCTTTCTTTCTCCTTGTTTTTCTTTATCTTTATCTTTAATTATGTATTATTAAAGCACAGATGCAGAAGTTGCTGAAAATTCTTTCAGACAGAATAGGGGATTACAATTGGGAAACTTAAGTTCAGAGTGCAAGTCTCAGGGATCAAGCAGGAGTGATGCTGATGCTTTTGGGATATCAGAATTGTCAGCAGCAATGATAATGGAGGCTGAATACAATGATACACATGTTGAGAGGGAATTCACTCATGATTTGTGTGCTGGTACCAATAGTAGTTGTGTAACACCACTCGAAGGAAGCATCTGTGATACAATACTTGATAATAGAAATATCCATAAATTGGTAAACTTAAGTTCAGAGTGCAAGTCTCAAGGATCAAGCAGGAGTGATACAGATGCTTTTGGAATATCAGAATTGTCAGCAGCAATGATAATGGAGACTGAATTCAATAATACACATGTTGAGAGGGGTTTCACTCATGATTTGTGTGCTGGTCTGAGGACCAATAGTAGTCGTGTAACACCACACGAAGGCAGCATCTGCGATACAATACTTGATAATAGAAATATCCATAAATTTAATACTAATGAAAGCTATATAGAAAATCGTGATTTATCTGATGAAAATGTGAAGGGTGATATTGTGGCAAGCAAACTTGTCAGTTGTTCAAGGGAGAGGAGATTGCGTAAGCCTACACGAAGGTTCATTGAAGAATTTTCAGATTCTAAGTCTGAAAGTAACAAGGGAAGGAAAAAAACTCCTACAAAAGATAAATACATGAAAGGGACATCTACTGAAGAATCTAGTCATGTTAGCCATGAGGTACAAGTGTCCACGCCTAAAGGTGAATGGCATTGTGGTACTTCTGTTCCAGTGCAGTCTCGATCTCAAAGAAGACATCCAAAGAAGCATGTACCAGTTTTGGTACGGGAGTTCTCTCTTGATTTCTGTTCATCCTGTCAATATAATTATCATTGAGATTTCTGTGTCTTATTTGCCTTTCATATATTATATGATTTTTTTTAATGGTTTGTTTGGTGCAAAGTCTTTCTAGAGTTAAAGCTGGAACTGCTTTGATGAAGTCATGCATAATGCTATATCTTTTTGAAAGACGTTTTTTTTTTTTTTTTTTGGTTTTTACTTGGGGGTTGTAAATAGAAAATTCTTGTTGGTCTTTTCCTGCCGTAACTTCAAAGTTTGTAATTTGTGAGTCTTTGACCATGGAACTCTGTTGTTTTATCACCTAGTTCTGCTATAGTTTCAGAATTGTAAGTTCTTTCATTCTATATTACAGGGATTTCTATCAGAAGACGTATATTCTGCAACAGAATGTAAAAATGTTTATTCATCTGCTAAAAGATGTAAAAAGCATGATAGGAGGAAGCACCAGAAGATGTGGACCCTTACTGAAGTAATGCAATTAGTTGATGGAATTGCTGAATATGGAACTGGCCGCTGGACTCATATAAAGAGGCACCTATTTGCACATTCTCCTCATCGCACACCTATAGATCTCAGGGTATCTGTCTCACTCGAATCTACTTCCTGATTGGTTGTCCTTGAGTCCAATGAGAATGTGAATTGTGTATGCCTTATCTTGTTTTCCCTGCAGGACAAATGGCGAAATCTTCTGAGAGCTAGCTGTGTTAACATACAGAACAGAAAAGGGGTGAGCCTTTTTGTCTTAATGCTTCACCTTTCTAGCGGATGTGAATTGTGCATGCCTTGGATTAACTTTTAATGACCTTTTGTCCTTGTTCCAATTCCATTGAATCTTTTGTATGGAAGTAAATTTTTAGCATGCTTTTAGTTGGTTGAAAATGTTTCAATTATACAGATCGAACGGAAGCAATCACATGCCTCACGTCCACTTCCAAAGTCCCTGCTCCAACGCGTCTATGAACTGGCCAATATTTATCCATATCCAAAGGAGCGCAGTCCAAAATCAGTCGAAGCAACTACACCTGCCCCGCATCTTACTGAAAGTAATGCTTTGCCATTCAATTGGGGGCGGAAGAAGGACGAATGACATCTACTTTGGAAACACCCGAAAGGCCTTTGCAGTGAAGTGGAAGTTCAAATAATACTTGTAATTAGATGTAAAAAGATCTCTGTTTCTGTTTTGATCCTATTGTAACAGTGATATGCTCTTGAAAATGGAAAAAATCTTCCATTATGAAAGCTGCGGAGCTAATTAACTAAAATTTTATAATATCATCTCTTCTTTTCCCTTGTTTTTTTAGGTTGCATTTTTTAGATAAATCATAAATCAGATCCATAAACATTTCCTAATACCAATTGTTAATTCTTGACGGAAGCTAGAGGTTCCCGGATTCTGTTGCATTGAGGAAAGGCAGTCATGTTGCAGTTTGAACTAATTGCTCCGAGGGAGGGGAAATCAGGAAGCACCTTGAGCAGGGAATACTTGAGTGAATATCTCCATGCTTTCTAATGTTTGCCTCTGCAGAAGAACCAACCACTCTCTTGCTGGGTGAGGTAAGTATGCTTTACTATTCTTTTTTGTGCAAGTTGATGATTACTCGTATTCTTTTGCAAGGATGTATTTTATCCAGTCTCAATCAACATATTTCTTCTCTATGCCAGGTGATTTCTTAATGAAATTTTTGCTTACACTGTATCGTTTTGCACTAGTATCTTCTTAATTACTAGTTATCTATATCATGGATTCATGCATAAACCTAGATACGTGTAGACAATAAGAGATGACCATTACTAATCCTTTGGATTTTCTAGACAGAGGCTCTATTATTACTTCATCCCCTGCCTACTCCTTTGAACATAGGAACATGAAAAGCTTGAACAAATAGAAATAGGATCTTTCTGGTACACTATCAAATATATTGATCTTCTGGATTTTCAATAGTTACCCACTTCCACTGTTATGTTATTTCCTAGTGAAGCTCCACCCTTTTCGTTGAAGTAGTCTCTAGGCAATGAGTGATGGTTGCCAATGCCACTTTCTGGGTGCTAGAAATTGCTCTTTCTGCTAATATTTTTTTTCCGTTGTTTGTGCTTGTTTGAAGAAATGTTGGTTTCTTTGTCCATGAAGACCTCCCTAATCAATCCTTCTTGAAGTTGCCGAGCAAGTGTAGCTCAATATCGTCATTGGTAAGAGGACTGAGAACTTCATCCGTGGGTTTCAAGTTTCGTACACTTGGATGTATCATACATAAGGCTTCAGCGTTTATAGATCTAACCGCCCTTTCCAAGCCCACCACTAGCCAATATTGTCTTCTTTGGGCATTCCCTTTTGGGTTTCCCCTCAAGGTTTTAAAATGCGTCTGCTTGAGAGAGATTTCCACCCCCTTACAAGGAATGCTTCATTCCCTTCTCCAACCGATGTGGGATCTCACAATTCACTCTCCGTGGGGGCCTAGCATCCTCGCTAGGCACTGCTGGTGTATGACTCTGATACCATTTGTAATAGTCTAAGTTCATCGCTAGCAGAAATTGTCCTCTTTGAGCTTTCCGAACTTCCTTTCAAGGTTTTATAATGTGTCAGGTAGAGAGAGGTTTCCATACCCTTATAAGGAATGCTTTGTTCCCCTTTCCAACCGATGTGGGATCTCACAATCACCCCACGAGGGCCCAGTGTCATCGCTAACTCACCGTCTGGTGTCCTGACTTTGATACTATTTGTAACAATGCAAGCCCACCGCTAGTAGATATTGTCCTCTTTGAGCTTTCCCTTCCGAACTTCCCCTCAAGATTTTATAATGCGTCTGGTAGGGAGAAGTTTCCACACCTTTGTATGTAATGCATCGTTCTCCTCTCCAATCGATGTGAGATCTCACAATAGAACAATAGGTAAGTTCTTAGAGTTGATTAATATTAACAATGCCCTAGTAGTTTTATAATTGAAAGTTAGTATTAAAAATGAATTAGGGAGTCTCCACTAGAAGACTGGACAAGATATAGAGTATGTTTGTATTGTAGGCCTGCTTTTTAAAATTAAATTATTGAATTATTATGGTTGAAATGGTACTTCTGGTCCACTTTAGCAGCCTCAATAGGGAAGATCCATCTTCATAATGGGAATCATTACGACGACCTAAAAGGCAATTAGGCATAATGATGTTTCCTGTTAGGATTGCTAAGTGATGTCAGTTTATAAATTACAAACATTAGTTTCCAACAATGTCCTGCTGCCAATCACTTCATAGAGACTTTTAGCAAAAGTACTTCATAGAGACTTCATAGACACTTTTAGCAGGATCTTGGGTTCCAGTGGCATGCATTTTATTTCGCTTGTCAATTCTCTCTCTTTCTGTCTGCACAATGAATTGTTCGGTATGGATATTCGATAGTAATTTCATAGGCCTCTAAACTATGTATACACAAAAAAATTTCCATTCTAGTCTATGAGCATATTTGATAATTGTTTGGAACAGATAAGTCCATAAAACAACTGTTATCAGGCATATCTTGGTGCCTTGAAATAACTGACTTTTGACGTTTACATATCTATAGCGTAAGTTTCATTAACCCTTTAGATATATATATGTATAATTCTTATTGCCTTAAATTTTTTTCGGAGAGATTTTCTGTAATAATCAAAACTCACCACGAGTAGATATTGTTCGTTTTGGCCCGTTACGTATCGCTTTGGCCTTACAGTTTTAAAATGTGTCTACTAGAGAGATGTTTTCACACCTTTATAAAAAATGTTTCGTTCTCCTCTCCAACCTATATGAGATCTCACAATATAGCCCCTTCAATGCCCCCACGTCTTTGCTGACACTTGTGGTCCTCTCTAATTGATGTGGGATTTCACAATCTACTCTCCTTTAGAGTCCAACGTCTTTAGTGGCACATAGCTCGGTGCCTAGCTCTGATACCATTTGTAACAACACAAGCCAACCACTAGCAGATATTGTTTGCTTCAGTTGGTTACGTATTGTTGTCAATCTCACGGGTTTAAAACGCATCGGTTAGGGAGAGGTTTCCATGCCCTTATAAATAATGTTTTGTTTCATGCCCTTATAAATAATGTTTGTTTCCCTATCCAACCAATGAATCTCACATTTTCATCCTAGATTGTCAATTCCTTGTCTGGTTGCCCTTTTCTACTGCCTAGCGCCAATTTTTATGTGACATCGATTTACTTTAAAGTTACTAACACTCACGCCCACCCTTCAATTATATGGTTATTCAAGTCTTGAAGGGATCATCACATCAATCTAGATTTGACAAATTTGCAAATACAGGTAATGATCAGATCAAGGGGAAATTGTAGCATTGTAATGGAAAATGGCTAATTCATCTCTACCATATCCTTGATGTACATTGTTATTTACTTTGTTTTTTTTTTGTTTTTTTTTAATTTAAAAAATTTCACCCATTAACTAGATCAGTTAAAAAAAACCCTCGAATTCGATCTCCAATATTTTTCAAATTTTATTTACTTGCTCACTCTTCTCTTAGAGTATCAAACGATCTTGCAGAATGTTTTGCATTTTCTTCGAGTTCTAAATTTTGAAAGTGATCATATTGCACCCTCACTCGATTTTCATCTTATAGGATGGTGTTTGGGGTGAGGAAAATGGTTGTGATAACTTGACCTTTTTCTAGAAGGATATGTATACAATAATTAACAATTGTATATGTGGGTTATGTAAATTGCATAAAAATCAAAATAAATGTCCTGATCTATATCATTTATTATTATTATTTTTGTAATAGTCTAAATAGGCTTGAGTCGTTGTAAATGGTATCAGAGTTAGATATGGCCGTTGAGCCAATAAGAACATTGAGCTTTCAAGAAAGAGCTTCCAAGGAAGTGAAATGTGAGATCTCACATCAATGGAAGAAAAGAACATCAGTTGGATAAAAGAATAAATGTACAAACTTTTCTCTAATAGAAGTATTTTAAAACTTGGAGGAGAGGCCTTAAAAAAAATTCATACCTTTTTTTAGTTAGAATTATAATTTTAGTTACTTTTAAATTTGTATACCATTTGTGTAGGTCTAATATACCTTTAATTTTCAGCTTCTCTTTCAGTCTAATAAGTCTTTTTATTTATTCGATAATTAAAAAAAGTCTTATTAATTTTTTTTTTAAAATTAATAAATTATGGAAAATATGTCTCTATAATATGTTCTAGAAGTAGCTTTTAAAGTTTTTTTCTTAAAAAAAATAATAGTTCACCTAAATCGGAATCCAATCTTTTAATATTTTAATCAATTATAATTAGCTAATATTGTAATTATTAATACATTAATATGGCGAATAATAAAAATTTTAATTGCTATCAAGGTTGGGAAATTAGATACTTTTTTTAATAAAAAAAAAAAAAAAAAATCAAAATTTAGCAATTTACTGAATGGACAACCTTAGTCTGTATTCGCATGGGCTTCCGCTATGAGAATTGACATTTTCATTTTTTTCTTTAAATATGGGTTTTATTTTAAAAACATATAAACGTTTATATCATTGATTTATCGATTGAAAAGACATCAATTTAATTTGGTGAACACGTGTGATAAAAATGATTTATATATACGAAAAATCTTGGATTTTGTAAGATATGGTCTTAATTTTATTTTATTTTTTTCCGATGAATTAGTAGTTAAATTTAATCATGATGTTAGAAACCTTGCTGTAATTACATTATACTATTGCATATATAATTGGATAAGGTATTTTGAATTGGATTGTATTTTTTTAAAATTTTATTTTGAACCATTATTATGTCATATAATAATTCAACTGTAAGCATTCTTTATTTATGATCATGTATGAACGTACGTACGGTTCAATACCCAATTTTGTTTTTGTATTAGTTGCATCATAGTAGAATAGAAACAAAAACTTTATACAATTATAATTTAGAAAACCATGGTTGTATTTAAATTATTTATAAATTCAAAAGTAGAAAATAAAAAATAAAGAATAAAAACCATTTTCATTTTCTTGGATTCTTAAAAAAAAAAAAAAAAAAAATATGCTTCCAAGAGGGAAGCATGGGAAGTTATTAATGGGAAGATATGGGGCAAAAGTAGTTGAAGAAAAAGCATAAAATTAATATTCAAATGCAAATAAATAAATAAATAAATAAATAAATAAATAATACAAAATTACAAAATGCCAGCCTCTGACCTGCAGGGCATGTTATCACTTACAAGTACAGCTTGTTAAAACTGAGCACCGCACGTGCATATCTCCTACACACATTCACTTCAACCCAATTCAAATCATTGCATCTTTTCCGGGTCGAGTCAGATGAAGCCTTCGATAAAATCCACATCTTTATTACGTTATTATATCGATTAAAACAAAAAACAGGTCGAGTTAGATTAAACTTTTGAAAAAGACGACATCTTTATTACGTTATCATATCAACTAAAACAAAAAACGGGTTGAGTCGGATTAAACCTTCGAAAAAGACGACATCTTTATTACGTTATCATATAAACTAAAACAAAAAATGGGTTGAGTCGGATTAAACCTTTATAAAAGACTGAGATCTTTATTACATTATCATATCGATTAAAACAAAAAACGACAGCTTTATTAATATGGAAAAGACCCTTTTGGACAACAATTACGAAAGTCGTAGTTCTAAGTTTGTCGGTATAGTACGAGCTATTGAATCGGGTGGTTTATTTTTGGTTTGGAGATAAAGGAACTGGGTCCATTGTGTTATGCATGCCAACTAGCTAGCTACATTACTCGTTCTTCTCTCTCAGTCTCTCAAGAGAGTTGGGGTAGGAGTGGCCCAACATTCATGTGCTTGATATCACTGCCTAAAACCCCATAACTTTTGCTATCCATATTAGAAGTGGGGAAGGGTTTTGCCCACTTGGAAACAAACCTTAGGGATTCTTTCAACTCATAGCCTACCCTTCATGTTTTCGCTTCAAAAAAATTGAATCCAAACCAAAGATATCACATTATTATCTCTATGTGATATGATTCTTTAATGCATGTTTGTGTTTGGTTCTTGAAATGACATTATAAACTGCCAATTGGATTGAGTATAATTGGGTCGCTTCCTTTCCCACCAATTATTGCACAAATATGTTCGATACCTCTTTTGGGTCTAACCCAAATGATAATTTGTAAGATCCTACGTCGGTTAGAGGGGAACGAAGTATTCTTTATGAGGATGTAGAAATCTCTCCCTAGTAGACTCGTTTTAAAACATTGATGGTAAACCCAAAAGGAAAAGCTCAAAGAGGACAATATCTTCTAAACGTGGGCTTAGGTTGTTACAGTTGGTATTAGAGCCAAACATTGAGCGATGTATCAGAGAAGTGGCTGAGCTCTGAAAGGGGGTGGATACGAGACGTTGTACTAACAAGGACGCTGAGCCCCGAAGGGGAGTGGATTGGGGTCCCACATCAATTGGAGAAGAGTAACGAGTGTCGACAAAGACGCTAGACTCCGAAGGGAGGTGAATTGTGAGATCTCACATTGGTTGGAGAGGGGAATGAACATTCTTTATAAGTGGAAACCTCTCCCTAACAGATGCGTTTTAGAAGAAAAATTCCAAAAAGAACAATATCTACTAGCGATGAGCTTGGACAGTTACCTAACTAGTTTTGAATTCTCTTAAAAATTGACAGCCAGGAAAGGAAGGTTAAAAAAATGGAGTTTTTCTGAGTCTCTATTAAGTGTATGTGTTGAGTTTACAGGTTTGCATGAAGACCATTTGCAAGTGACTGAGAACGATGTTTCAAGGAGAGGAAGGTGTGTTTCTTGTAGAACACCAAACCGGTTACAAGTACTCCATTGTCGTCCTTGGGAGATGAATCAGTGAGCTGGCCTCTGCTGCAGCTATTAAATGAACCAAACCAAAAAAAACAAAAAATAACATTGTATTATCTATATAAAACACGTTCGAGTCAAAGAAATTTAACTCGTAAATGTATATATTATCGACCAAAAAGTTAAGACATGATTATCTGATCGAGTTCTAAGCTAGGGTTAACGCTCTTCTCCCATAAGAAAAAGATGAAAAAGATGAGAGTCGGGCCACTTTTTAAGTGTTCGTGTGATCGATGCCTTTCTTTGTCCATGAATAATGTACAAAAGAAGTAAAAAGTGGGAAAAGTAGAAACAATATGAAAGAGCCCAAAAGACAGTAGAGGACATATGCTTTTTAAGCAGAATCTTGTGAATGGGAGCATATAGGATTAGGTTGGAATCATAACAAAATTATTGTCCCATGCTCATCCTATCCTTTCATCATAATGGCCACAATTCAAAAACATGTCCAATTCAACACATTTTTACCAAAAAGGGAAAAAAACAAAAGAAAGCTCATCATTTCGGCTGCAACAGTCCAAAGCCACCGCTAGTAGACATTGTTTGCTTTGATCTATTATGTATTTCTGTCAGCCTCATGGTTCTAAAACACATCTACTAGAAGAGGTTTCCACACTCTTATAAGGAATGTTTCGTTCCACTCTCCAACTAATGTGGGATTTCACAATACACCTCCCTTAAGGGCCCAACATTCTCACTAGCATATTACCCCGTGTCTGCCTCTGATACCATTTGTAATAGCTCAAGGCCATTCTAGCAATATATTGTCCACTTTGACCCGTTACGTATCGCCGACAGCTTCACGATTTTAAAATGCGTCCACTAGGAGAGCTTTCCACACCCTTATAGAATGCTCGTTCATCGTGGAATCTCATTCTCCACGCATAGATTCAAACAAAATCATGAAGTTAAGAGCAGAAGGACAGAGTCAAAGTATGACTGTTAAGAAATGGGTGTCTATCATTTTCCTCAGAAGGAGAATCTTCAGCTTTCTTTGTTTATATACAAACAGACTCGAGAAAGAAGATAAAAAAGAGGTCCAGATACGAGGAACTGATAACTGAGAGGAACCAAATCAAGACTTCAAACAAAAGTATATGTAAGAGATTACAGAAATTTTTGAAGTATGAGTTATGTTTGAGTGAAAGTGGCCCATCTCCTGCTCCCAGATGTGCTGCTGCACACAAGCTTATCACAAAACAATCTGCACCAAATGCTCTGTTCTTCTCTGAATAATAAGATAAGAATCCCATAAGGTACTGTTTCAAATGCACAAATCTGTACGGCTATAGTACTCTAAATCCCTCTCTGTTCATAATAAAAGATATACAGATTCTGATGAAGTACTAAAACATTTCATGGTGCGCTCAAATCAATCCAAATATAAAAAAGATATGAACAACAGTTCAAATATGACTCTGTTCCTTTGCTTTACACTGATTTTGACACATCAATAAGTCAATTTAGCGAACGAACGAAACTTTATTTATAAGGGTGTGAAAACCTCTCTATAGTAGACGCATTTTAAAATTGTAAAGCTGACAGACAATATCAGTGTGAGGTGGACTTGGACTCTTACATGAAATGACTCGAGATATGACCATCTACATAACTGATCCTCTTTGGGAGCCTAAGAACGAACCCAACTGCTAAGTGGAAGTGAGATTTAGTAACTCGTAGAGATCGTAAAAAATGTCCATTTAACTTGCAGGCGGCCTGTAGGTTTTAGCCTGTGGTCTCTGAGTAACGCCTATCAGAAGGTCGTTTGGTGAGCTGAATAAGAAAAGTTCTTGATATCTCCTAAGTTGAGGTGTTGAGGGGGACATGAACTGTAATTTAAAAGATTAATAGTATTTCTTTTCCAAAAAGTTAGATATCATATGATATCAGAATTTATGATTTTCAAGAGCAATAAGTCATGAAGTTGTGTGAATAAAAGTATCCGAAGACAATTATTACATTCACTAGCTGAGAATAGATGAAATGAGGTCAATGAGTGTGAACAAATTGATATTCGACAATATCGAAGCTTAAAGCTTAAAAGTCAGAAATAAGTGGCTTTCCCACTCTACCCAAGAAAGTTATCCCCATCCCCTCTTTCAAAGCTTATCTCTTCTCCACTCCAATCTGTGGGGCCATTGCAAATTTAACTACTTCAGTCGAATACCGCCCGTAGATATTGTATTTTTTTGGATTTTCTCTCAAGATTTTTAAAACGCGTTTATTTGGGAGAGGTTTTCATACCCTTATAAGAAATGTTTCGTTCTCCTACCCAACTGATGTGAGATCTCACAATCCACCCTCTTTCGGGACCTAGTGTCCTCGCTGCCACTCGTTTCCTTCTATCGATGTAGGACCCCTCAATCCACCTCCCTTCGAGGTCCAACGTCTTTGTTGACACACCACCTTGTGTCCAATGAGGACGTTGGGCCCCGAAAGAGGTAGATTGTGAGATCCCACATCGGTTGGGGAGGAGAACAAAACATTTTTTACAAGGGTGTGGAAACCTCTTCCTAATAGACGCGTTTGAAAATCCTTGAGGAGAAGCACGAAAGGGAAAACCCAAAAAGGACAATACTTGCTAGTGGTGAACATGGGTGTTACAAATGATATCAGAGCCAGACACCGGTGCTAGCGAGGAGGCTGAGCTCCAAAGGGGAGTAGACATAAGGCGGTGCGCCAGCAAGGAGGGTGGATTGGAGGGTCCTACATCGATTGGAGAAGAAAACAAGTGTTAGCGAGGACGCTGGGACTCGAAAGAGAAAGAATTATGAAATCCTACATTGGTTGGGGAGTAGAATAAAACATTATTTATAGAGGTGATATCTGCTAGCAGTAGATTTAGGCTATTAGTACAAATCCATCTTTCTCTTCTCCATTTATGAATATAAATACTTTCATCTCAAAACAATGGCATATGCCATAAATGTTCGTACAATTCGTATAATTTAGAGATGCAATAATATAATGAAGTAAAGTAGTACAGCACGGCAAAGGGGCACTGTCAAAGAGAAAATGGCATGCATAAACTAAGCCCACTTCATAGTTATATCTATCATGTCAACCATTTAATACTCTTCTCCATCCACTCTTATATATACCTTTCAGTATCTCTTTAATGCCTTACTTTCTTTCTACATCTCTTCCTCTCAGATTCAGTAGCTAAAGATGAAGGGGAAGTTTATAAGAGCATGTGCAAACAAATGGAGGAAGCTAGGGAGCAAAGTGGTGCCTTGTACACCCTGCGAGCACTGTTGCCAATGGGTTCTGTGGTCTCCTTTGCACGAGGATTGCTTCATTCCACGAGATGTCCCAAAGGGTCACTTGGTTGTTTATGTGGGTGAGAATTACAGAAGATTTGTGATCAAAATTAGTCTTCTGAATCACCCTTTGTTCAAGGCATTGCTGGATCAAGCACAAGATGAGTTTGATTTCACTTCTAACTCAAAACTCTGCATTCCTTGTGATGAGAACCTTTTCCTTAGTGTTGTCCACCGTGCTAGCTCGTTGTGCTAGCTCGCCGTGCTAATGAGCTAGCTCGTCGTATAACCGACAAGTCCCTCTCTGTGTTTGAAGATAGGTTGCTGTCGAATTTGATTTATTTTGGAAGCTTTGGAACCTCTTTGAGAATGCTGATATGTATGTAGCCATGATTTGTTGTATACTAATGTAACTTGATTAAGAGCTAGTGAATCCTTGCCACTTGGGGATCCAATGATCTTTCATGACTACTGACTGTTGGCCCAATTTCCTAGCAATAGATCTCGCCACATCTCGCACGTACCATAGTTTTACGGTCATGCTTGTTCATGTAACAGCTCAAGCTCACCACTAGCAAATATTGTACGCTTTGATCCTCGGCCTCACGATTTTAAAACGCGTCTTCTAGGGAAAGGTTTTCACACCCTTATAAGGAATGCTTCATTCTCCTCTCCAACCGATGTGAGATCTCACAGTCCAAGGCGTGTTGTCCATGGCTGCATACTCATGCCAAGCCAAACCCTTTATTTGATTTCATGTTGTATTATCTTACCATTGTATTTTATGTTTAGGCTTGCCAAACCTAAATCGCCTCAAAATGTACTATATAGGGATGCAGCTAATCGTCAATCTTTCTAACTGGAGTTATATGCTATTTAAGCTATTGTGGTTCCTTTCTCGCTTATTGTCTATAATATTGTTTTCAAAACCTTCTTTCAATCTTGCTTTCGAGCTCTCTTTCGAAAATTTCTTTGCCCCGTTTCCTAAAACCTTCTTCTCAACGCGGGGCTAGAGGTTTGAGCATATGTTGTTTAGTCGTAGGCAAGCGAATCCGAATTAACTTGACTCACTCGGTGTTGGAGGGGAGTGTCGCAAAATTGCAAAGGCCACTGTTAAGAAAAGTGCGATTGTGACACACTCAAGGCTCGCACCGAGGCTCCTAAAAGTCAGCTATATTGCCAGTGAAGCAACTCCACGTACAAAATCCTCAATGGTGGTTGACATTCCAGTGCATTATCTCAAATAAGGAAACAGCCTAGTAGTTGGCTCAGCCATGGTTTTGTGTCAAGCTACAACCCCTCCAATTGTAAGGCTTCATACACTTTTCCAAACAATTAGTATGGGTGGGAAATAAACGCATGGCCAGTAGAGCTTACAAATAACCCTCAGAGAAAAATAACCCTCCCTTTCTCTGTTAAGTTCTAAAACTCAACTTTGGCTCTATTCTAGGTTAAGAATCTTGGATGTAACGTCGTTTAGAAACAGAGCTCCTATGATTCTATATTGATTTGGGACTTCACCAAGATGAGTTTGAACCCTTCATTGAATCAAAGTATGCTTAAAACACTTTATCGAGGGTTACCATGTGATTTGAGCACTTATGAGAACATAATAGGGCATACTAATGTTTAACAAGACAACTCAAGCAAGTACCATGTCAAACAACAACTATTGAGTCGCACTAATGCTTTGTGATGTCCACCACATGCATCAAAATGTCATCGTCTTTGCAACTCACTTAAGCATCTGCCTTTGCAGCTCACTTAAGCATGATTATTGAGAATCAACCTATGAGTTAGACTGCGTTAGTTGACTATATTAATGGTTACGACCAAATATTATATAATTATAATGAAATAAGTAGGTTTTTTAGGTGTGTCCGAGAACAAATTGGGAGACAATTTGTAAAGTTTAACTAAATCATAACAACTAAATTAAGACAAATATTGGTTGATTTAACACATAAATATTGCAACAAAGTGAATACTTACCTAAAAACCATCTTTGAGGAATTTATGACAAAGCAACTACTAAATATATATATAGAAAAAACATTCTAAATTTATTGCATGCCATACACAATTGTGGCACAACTTCAACGTCAATAAAATTATTCTTTTTTCGTCTTTTACAAACTACAAAAATGGGAAGGAAAAGGAAACCGTGTTTCGTAGAAATAAATTTTAACAGATCTCAATCATCTGACAATGTATGGCTGATTACATGAACAGGGCCATCTCAGTTTTCCCTTGGATGGCCAGCAAACGATCAATAGTTAAATAGGGTAGCACCCTTGGGATAAGCTACCTCAGAGTCATCAATATGATCTGAACTTATTACTCTTCAGAGAAACTATGAAAAGATATGAAGGAAGGCAGAAAGGTTCCTGAAAAACATTCCTCAAAGATGGTCACAAATTGCATTGGTGAACTCAGAAGTTGATGATGAGCCTCCGAGGTCGGCTGTTCGGTACTTCCCTTCTGCAATGGTTTTGAGGACAGCGTCTTGGATCCGATCAGCTTTGTCATGGAGCTTCAAATGCCGAAGCATCGTGACAGAACTTAAAAGCAATGCGGTTGGATTGGCCAAATTCTGGAGAAGTTTCACGGCTTTCAGATGTATGAAAATAAACTTTCCAACAAAGCATTCTAAATTTATTGAGTGCCATACAATTGTGTTTATTGTGTGTTTGCAAAAGATATATTCAACATCAGCCATTATGTTATACAGGTTGTGCTTTTGCAAAGACGTATGAAAACTCCTATTCCTATTCGAGTTGATCGGGTTCATCAAATTTTTTTAAAAGAAAAGAAGAAATTTAGAACAGGATTCAATAGATTTATTTGAAAATGTATTATGTTGGTTTTGGTTGAACGGCAGCAAAAGATTCTTCTAATTACTATATGAAGGGAACTTTTGAAGTTACATGACAAAGCAAATATGTGATGTCCTGTATAGACGCTACCTCTTTATTCAATTTGTTCAACATGGTTTCTGGTAATTTTGTTCTTTCTAGGAACACTACATGTGCTCCTCAGATCTTTGTTCTATTCTTAGTATGAAGGGAATTGATGCCTAATTCTGAGATATAAAGGGCTACCTATCAAGGGTATATTGGTTCAAAAAATAAAAAACTGTGCTAAAAAGAAAATAATTCACTCTTCATCCACTCTTTTCTATACCTTTTTAGTTTTTTTTTTCTCTGTTTCATGAAAACTGACTTGTTTGATACTATGTGGGTTTTTGTTTCTATTCTTCTGAAAGAAGTTTGTGAGAGATTAGCATTTTTTCTCCTAAAACGGGGTTTTTTCCCAGAAACCTTTTTTGATTTACAAAATGATAAATACATAATAAGTAACATTTTCTCTTGCTACTCCCTCTCTGCATTTCATTTTTCTACCTACTTTTTCTTAATCATCTCAGATGATTAAATGATTTTTTTATATTTGAAAATGTGCAACTTAAGATGACTCTAAATCTTTTAATCTATTATAGCCAATGTCTATTTCATTAGAATGTCATGCAGTTTGATCACAGCTATTAACCTCAAGCATTTCATTTCATAAATAGCATTCTCACGAAATTCTTTCCTATGAGTATCAAACATTTTCATGTCAAATAGGCCATATTTAGTCACATAGGTCTCCAAGGTTGGCATGTTATCACTTGTCAAGATTATTGGTCGAAGGAGCAAAATTGACACTGCTAAACCCTGTGGTTCTAATTAAAGTTCAAGAAAAAATTTAGGACTAAATATGAGTTAGTTAGTAAAAAAAACACAGCAAAGCTCATAAAATCTCAGCAAAATATACAAGTAACATACAAACAATGGAGAGACGCTATAGGGGAGATATCTGACAAAACCAAGGAAATGAATGAAAATGCACTTATGGCAGGTAATGATATTAGAGTTGTGAAATCTAACCTTTCCAGCAATATCTGGCGCTGAACCATGCACAGCCTCAGCAAGAGCAATACCTCCCTCACCAATATTGCAGCTGTATGATAGAATTTTTTAGATGTCAGATAATCTGTAACTCACTCACCAATAGAAATGAAAACGAGGCATGAATACCTTGGCGTTAAGCCCAATCCTCCAATCAGCCCAGCACAGAGATCACTGATAATGTCACCGTAAAGATTTGGCATAACTAACACATCAAATAGTGATGGATTCTTCACAAGCTGCACAAAGTCGATACACAATGAAGATCATTACCACCTTATTTACACTTGCATTACAAAAGTCAAATCCATTTCACTGAAGTTCTACAAAAACCCTTTGATGATCCCAAAGTTTGACATCAAATCAAGTAATGATCAGAAATATATTCTAAAGAATCCACTGGGAATTCTAAATTGACCCTCCCAGACCTCCACATCATCTTTAATGCAGAATTAATTTTCTCATGAGTGATATAGCTATGATTTTTAAAAATAAATTAATACATACCATCATACAGCAATTATCAATGACAACTTCCTCATATTTTATCTCAGGATACTTCTCTGCAACTTCACGGCAACACTGAAAGTGAAGACACAAATAAAACTTCAGATGAGGAACCCTGGGTGAAAAATGAAGATGAGAGGACAGTTAATAATCTGACTTAGTCAAACCTTAAGAAAAAGACCATCAGTTTTCTGCATAATATTGGCTTTGTGTATCGCAGAGACTCTCTCCCTCCCATGGGCCTTGGCATAGTGAAAAGCATATTCCGCCACTCTTAAACTTGCTTGACGGGTAATGATCTTAAGGCTTTCAACCACACCTCTCACCACCTAACGTTCAAGAATCAGTACGCCTAAATCATATTGAAATATTTTTCTACTACATCAATCGAAATCTTAGATACTTACTTGATGTTCAAGTCCACTGTACTCCCCCTCTGTGTTCTCACGGATAGTGATTAGGTCTACATTGTCATATCGAGTTTTATAACCAGGCAGGCTGTAGCAAGGCCTTACATTAGCATATAAATTAAGTTCCTTCCTTAAGGTAAGGTTCAAAGAACGATGCCCTTTTCCAATAGGTGTGGCCATGGGTCCTTTCAAGCCCACACCATTACGCCTCACTGATTCTAAGCTTTCCCATGTAAGAAAACTTTGAGTTCGGGGATCTATTTGGTCCCCGACGTAGTGTTCTTCCCATTCAATTGGCACTTCAGCAGTTGTGAATACCTGAATAGAAGAATAATGAAACTCAGCATACAACACCATAAATATCACTTAAAACCAGAAGTACCTTGCCCATTCATGTTCATAAAATTATTGATGCAAGGACTTATCCTCTTATTATGTATAAAAAATGAGTTGCGATTTTCAAGTGCATTCAACACTTAAGATTTGGAAAGAAAAGAAAGAACGAAACGGCAGCACTCTAGAATCACCATCTCACAACAGAAACACAAAAACCAACGACATGATCCAAAGAAACAAATTACCATAAAATTGAACACACAAATACCCCGAAACACTATACGAATAAACGTTAAAATAAGAAATTCAGACCAATTATCTCGAGTAATTGGCGGGGAAACTTCCACTAGGTACAAAACACGATGGAATTATCGTACTGAAACATAACTGCGATCATGGAGAAAAGACAATACCTGTTTGACGGAATCCGCAATTTCGGGACCAATACCATCGCCTGGGAAGAGAGTGGCTCGGATCGGAGAAGCAGCAGAAGAGAAAGCCCTAAAGGGGAGGGGAGAGGCAGAGGTAAGGTTGGAGGAAAGGGAGAAGATCTGACCCGAGCGGCTTCCGAGGGTGCGTCTCAGCAGGTGCGATGCCATGATTGACGACGAAGAATAGAAGAAAAATCACGGAGAATATGTCTTAACCAAACATGTTTTGTTAAATATATAAATTTAATTTCAGAAAAAAATTAATACTAAAACAAGCGAAAACAAAACACAAAAGGGCCGCATGAACACAAAAGCTGAAGATGGGCTTGTTATATGGGCTACTTCAATGGGCTATTGGGCTAGTTAGATGGGCCGGTCATAAGGGCCCATCAGTGAATAATTCTCGATGATTATTTTCGTTATTTGAATCAAATAATGAATCGATTTATTATGTTAGCGATTGAACTTGTACCTCTTTAAGCTTCTTTTAAAAAATTGCACCGATCATTTTCAGCTCCTTAGCTAACTTGATAAATTGAGTACTCTTCCTACTTCTAATCGATTACTAAATTGTGGTCTCAAATAGCATAATGAATGATCGTCTTCCTGCTTGGTCATCGCAGTATTATGATAAAATAATGATCGTTTTCCTGTCTCGTAATGTACGCGTCCGTATCATAGTGAAGAGTAAAGGGTATCTCCTAATGCATGTACATAATAATACATGAGGTCCCAACATTTTCTTATTTTTATTATCATTTAATATGACCCCACTAGCGTTCTGTACATATCATATGTTTTTCATATCATTTCACATGTCGTTTATTAATTTATCATATCTTTCATGCATATGTCAAGTTGTATTTCATACTAGTTTATCGTTTTGCATGTCAATCACATCATATCATTCAAATTACATAAATATATCATATCATAATATTCCATGCTTTTAGACATAACGATTTTAATCATATACATGTTATACCGTAACATATTACATCACAATATATCATATCATAAACATGTCAACTTATAACATTTTTCGTACCATATCATATTTCATATTATTTTCATATCATATCACAACATATATATAAACATATATAGATAGATAGATAGTAAACCCTTTGTGGTCATATATTATTATACTCTTAACATTCTTATATCTATCACAATCATATCGTTATTTGAACGTATTTTAGTCATATTGTTATAGGAACATATCCTTAACGCTATCGTTCTATCAATCTATTATAATCTTATTACTTTCTACCCATAACCTAATCTTATTATCTTACAATCGAATGTGACATATTGTTTTTATTAATCTCTCATGTCAATAGCACTTTGATATGCAACTTAACTTTAACGTTTCATGAACACACTGTACTATTAAGTATTATCATATGATTCACATATTATAACATATACATATCATAAGTCTATCGATCTATTAACAATTCAAACATATCAATATATGTGACACGTGTAGAACCACGGGGCATGTCGATTGTAAGGCCACTTACCTGATTAGCTTAGGCTGATGTCATGAAGTTATCTTTAATGGAAGTTCGATTTTGTTCCAAGTCAACCTATGTGAGCCCATAACACCAGTTTCAAATTTGAACTTCTACAAAATTGTTTCTCTAATTTACCTTGGTCTCGCTAGAGTTTGAGAATTTGGTAACTTTAGTGGTAAACATTGTCAAATAGGGTTTTTTTATATATCTTAGTTAAAGTAATTGTCATTCTCTTCCCTTATTCAATCCCCCACTTTTATATATAAATATATAATATTTATTATATATGAATATAATAGATATTATATAAATAGGATTATAGTGGATGAATTTTTTTAACGAGACATGTAATGAAGTAAACCGTACAAAGGGGGTGATTTCGTAAAAAATAATTGAATTGTTTTTTTTGCGGACTATTTAAAACAACCATTCATTTCAATTCGAATCGACTGGTCTGAACATTAAAGCTATTGCATGAATTAAACCTTAAAATATTTATATATGTTCGTTATAATATTATTTTCATATCAATAATTTAATATTCTTCTGTTCCATTTTTATATTTGTAATAGAGTACTCAATTATTAAATTCAAAACCAACCTATCCCTCTCAGTGTCATTATCATTGAATTTAATGTTTGAATTAATATACAATTGTGTTCCAATTTTTCTTCCCACTCCAATCTCCCCCAAGAAAATTCTTTGGTCTCTAATAAATATTAAGTTTTGCTTTTTTTTTTTAATTCTTTTAAAGATGAATAAAATCCATAGTTTTTTAGTAAGTTTTTTTAATTTAATTTTTGTGTGAAATGTTTTACATACGAACTTTAAGTTTAAAATAATTGATCAGAATAATGATAATAATTTCATGTTATAAATTAAAATTGTGAAAATTGTGTAAATGAAAGGTACATGAATGAATTAAATTTATATTATGAAAATAGATTAAAAAGACTTAAAAAAGCTGGGAGTTATTACTTATATTAACAAGGTGCAACATATCTTCTTTTTCGGTCCTTTAATTATAGAAACTTCATAGTAAAACGCAGTTTGTTTAGAGCAATTCTATGTTGGTGACTTAACTTTCGTGTTTGCTTCCTCTTTCACCAACTTCTTCACCAAACCCCTTTCAAGTCTCATCCACTTCTTATTTAATCATACCCTTTGATCTTTCCCCCACGCAAAGAAGATTTTTAAGTGTAATTCATTCATCTTCTTTGTGTAGCATTTCAAAATGGCCGATGCAAAGACCATATGCAAGAGCCCCACACATCATGACCCACTAAACTGGGGCGTGGCGGCCGAGTCCCTTAAGGGAAGCCATCTTAATGAGGTGAAGCGCATGGTGGAAGAGTACCAGAGCCCCCTTGTCAAGCTCGATGGTGAAACCCTCACTATCTCCCAAGTGGCTGCTATTGCTACAAGGCACTCCCATGTTGCTGTGGAGCTTTCAGAGTCTACTAGAGCTGGCGTTATGGCTAGTAGTGATTGGATTATGGAGAGCCTGAAGAAAGGCACGGATAGTTATGGAGTCACTACTGGCTTTGGTGCTAACTCTCATAGAAGGACCCAACAAGGTGGAGACCTTCAAAAGGAGCTTATTCGATTTTTGAATGCTGGGATCTTTGGAGAAGAGGCTGAGTCGAGCCATGCTTTGTCTCACTCCGCTACAAGAGCGGCCATGTTAGTGAGAGTCAACACTCTTCTTCAAGGCTACTCGGGCGTTAGATTTGAGATTTTGGAAGCCATAACCAAACTCTTGAACCATAACGTAACTCCATGCTTGCCTCTTCGTGGAACCGTTACTGCTTCTGGAGATCTTGTTCCTCTTTCTTACCTTGCTGGACTGCTCACTGGTCGGCCGAACTCAAAAGCTATTGGTCCGAATGGAGAGAGTTTTGGTGCAAAGGAAGCTTTTCAAAAAGCTCTTATTCCTTCTGGGTTCTTTGAGTTCCAACCTAAAGAAGGTTTTGCTATTGTCAATAGTACTGCTGTTGGCTCTGGGCTGGCTTCGATTGTTCTGTTTGATGCCAATATTTTGGCTGTTTTGTCTGAGATTTTGTCGGCCATTTTTACTGAGGTTATGCAAGGAAAGCCTGAATTCACCGATCATTTGACGCACAAATTGAAGCATCATCCTGGTCAGATCGAGGCTGCTGCAATCATGGAACACATCTTGGATGGAAGTTCTTACATGAAAACTGCAAAGAAATTGCATGAAACCGATCCTCTCCAGAAGCCAAAGCAAGATCGTTATGCTCTTAGAACTTCTCCTCAATGGCTTGGTCCATTGATTGAAGTGATTCGATACTCAACAAAGTCTATTGAGAGGGAGATTAATTCAGTCAACGACAACCCTTTGATTGATGTTTCAAGAAACAGGGCTCTGAATGGAGGCAACTTTCAAGGAACACCAATTGGAGTCTCCATGGACAACACTCGATTGGCCATTGCTTCAATTGGGAAGCTCATGTTTGCCCAATTCTCAGAGCTTGTCAATGATTTCTACAATAATGGGCTACCTTCAAATCTCTCTGCAAGTAGAAACCCAAGTTTAGATTATGGATTTAAAGGTGCTGAAGTTGCCATGGCTTCCTATTGCTCTGAGCTTCAATATCTTGCAAATCCAGTGACAACTCACGTACAGAGCGCTGAACAGCACAACCAAGATGTTAACTCTCTTGGTTTAATCTCTTCAAGAAAAACAGCTGAAGCCATTGATATTCTGAAACTCATGTCATCAACATTTTTGGTTGCACTCTGTCAAGCAATCGACTTAAGGCATTTGGAGGAAAACTTGAAGAGCACTGTTAAAAACACCGTAAGCCTGGTAGCTAAGAAAGTGTTGCCATCGCCAAGATTATGGGAGAAAGAGTTACTGAAGGCTGTCGATAGAGAGTACACTTTTGGTTATATAGATGACCCATGTAGTGCTACTTACCCATTGATGGAGAAATTGAGACAAGTTATTGTGGAGCATGCTCTCACAAATGATGATGATGAGAAGAACGAGAACACTTCAATCTTACAAAAGATCGCTTCTTTCGAAGAGGCATTGAGGGCAATTTTACCAAAAGAAGTTGAGAAGACAAGACTTGCATATGAGAGTGGAAATGCAGAGATTAAGAACCCGATTGAGGAATGCAGGTCTTATCCGTTGTATAGGTTTGTAAGAGAAGAATTGGACACAAAATTACTGACGGGTGAAAAAGTGATATCTCCCGGAGAGATGTGTGAAAAAGTATTCACAGCTTTGCGTAAAGGGAAGATGCTTGATTCTATGTTAGAATGTTTGAAGGAGTGGAATGGTGCTCCAATTCCCATACGTTAGGCGTTCCACCCTTTGTCTAAACAATGCCCCCAGCCTTCCATGATGAGCAAAGGCTTTGTTGTGTGCTTCTTGTCTGTATTTTAAAATAGTTTTTGTATTGTTGTTGTGTGGAAGAAATACAAGTTAATAAAGAGAATTTATTCTCAATGCATTCATTTTCTTAGACGTAAAAGCATTAATTAAATAATACACCGACTAGTAATAGTCCTAGTCCACTGCTAGTAGATATTGTCTACTTTAGTCCATTATTTATCTTCATCTGACTCATTACGTATCGAGTCAATAGACGCATTTCAAAATTATAAGGTTGACGACAATACGTAACGGGTCAAAGTAGACAATATCTACTAGCGGTGAACTTGAACTATTACAATGTCTCACACGAAAATAGTTATCAGCCATAATCGTTTGAAATACCTCAGTGATGACTCCCCCATGAGACCTTTTCTCAAGATCTCTAAACCCCATAAAAAAGGCCTTCCAAAAATATGATGGCGAAACGAGAGCTCCAATTGTTCAATATGGACTATTTCGAGGAATGAAGGCTCATTGGGATACAAGGATAATATCATGGAGAATCACTTTCAACCTATTGGTAAGCACCTTAGTGACAAATAATAATGTAAAAAAAAAAAAAAAGGAGACGGGTCTCACCCAAATGGCTCTCGAGTGCGCTACCTTCTCCCCAAGGTCTTCTCGATTTCCTTAAACTTAGTTTAGGTCTTTCTTTGATCTTGAACTCGTGCCCCTTTAAAAATGAATATTAGAAAAATGACTTTGGATAAGAGTAACATAATTCATTTTAGAGGCAACAAGAACCATTCCACCACGATCATAAGTCCAACAAAGCACACACTCGACTGGTGACGTGGCTCCTCCAAGGCCAATGCCAATGCCAACTTCTAGGAAATCACTAAACCCCACAATGCACATTACTCCAAACTCCCACCCACCCCGCACACAATTTTGACCACTGAAAATAAAATGATTATAAACTCCATTACCTTCTCAAGTCCCAACTACCCCATTTAGTCCTTATTCAAACCACAAGTTGTGGTGGCCTGTTTCCACCACTCTTCCGGTTACCTACCACTAAAACAAACACTATCCCTCTTCAGTTTGTGATCAAAGCTTTCCCTATTTAAACCTCATTCTTCATCTTCTATTCTCCAAATCAACATCACAAACAACTAACCATTCTCATTTCACTCCCTCCATCCATCCAAAACACAAAACCCATATTTTTTAAATCCCTCATTCTTCTAATACACTCTCATGGCACCAGCTCCCTTCCAACAACTTGCCCCCCAAAATGGTTCCGTGGAGAGCTTCTGCATTAGCACTAATGATCCACTCAACTGGGGTGTGGCTGCCGAGGCTCTCAAGGGGAGCCATCTCGACGAGGTGAAGCGCATGGTGGAGGAGTACCGGAGGCCCCTTGTCAAGCTCGGTGGTGAAACTCTCACCATTTCCCAAGTGGCTGCCATTGCCACTCGTGATAACCATGTGGTGGTCGAACTGGCCGAGTCTGCTAGAGCGGGCGTTAAAGCTAGCAGTGATTGGGTTATGGAGAGCATGAACAAAGGCACTGATAGCTATGGTGTCACTACTGGCTTTGGTGCTACCTCTCATAGAAGGACCAATCAAGGTGGCGCTCTTCAGAAGGAGCTGATTCGATTCTTGAATGCTGGGATCTTTGGAAGTGGAGCTGAGTCCACCCATACTCTGCCCCACTCCGCTACCAGGGCGGCCATGTTGGTGAGAATCAACACTCTTCTTCAAGGCTATTCGGGCATTCGATTTGAGATTTTGGAAGCCATAACCAAACTCTTGAATTCTAACATCACTCCCTGCTTGCCTCTTCGTGGAACCATCACTGCTTCGGGTGATCTTGTTCCTCTTTCTTATATTGCTGGATTGCTCACTGGCCGACCCAACTCTAAGGCGGTTGGACCAAATGGAGAGAGCCTTAATGCTCAGGAGGCTTTTCGACAAGCTGATATTCCTTCTGGGTTCTTCGAGCTGCAGCCTAAAGAAGGTCTTGCTCTTGTCAATGGCACTGCTGTTGGTTCTGGATTGGCTTCCATTGTTCTGTTTGAGGCCAACATCTTGGCTGTTTTGTCTGAGATTTTGTCCGCAATTTTTGCTGAGGTTATGCAAGGAAAGCCTGAATTCACCGATCATTTGACTCACAAGTTGAAGCATCATCCTGGTCAGATCGAGGCTGCTGCAATTATGGAACACATCTTGGACGGAAGTTCTTACATGAAAACTGCAAAGAAATTGCACGAAACCGATCCTCTCCAGAAGCCAAAGCAAGATCGTTATGCTCTTAGAACTTCTCCTCAATGGCTTGGTCCATTGATCGAAGTTATTCGATTCTCAACCAAATCTATCGAAAGAGAGATTAACTCGGTCAACGACAACCCTTTGATTGATGTTTCAAGGAACAAGGCCATCCATGGAGGCAACTTCCAAGGAACTCCCATTGGAGTCTCCATGGACAACACTCGTTTGGCCGTTGCTTCAATTGGAAAGCTCATGTTTGCCCAATTCTCAGAGCTTGTCAACGACTTCTACAACAATGGGCTGCCTTCAAATCTCTCTGCAAGCAGAAACCCAAGTTTAGATTATGGATTCAAAGGTGCAGAGATTGCGATGGCTTCCTATTGCTCTGAGCTTCAATATCTTGCAAATCCAGTGACGAGTCATGTACAGAGCGCCGAGCAACACAACCAAGATGTTAACTCGCTGGGTTTAATCTCTTCAAGGAAAACAGCGGAAGCCCTTGATATCTTAAAACTCATGTCTTCCACCTTTTTGGTTGCCCTCTGCCAAGCAATCGACTTGAGGCATTTGGAGGAAAACTTGAAGAACGCAGTAAAAAGCTGTGTTAGCCAAACAGCCAAGAAAGTGTTGAACACATCCTCTAATGGAGCGCTTCACCCATCAAGGTTTTGTGAGAAGGATCTTCTAAAGGTTGTGGACAGAGAGTACACCTTCGCTTATATCGATGATCCATGCAGTGCCACTTACCCATTGAGCCAAAAGTTGAGGCAAGTCCTTGTTGAGCACGCACTTGGCAATGGTGATTGTGAAAAGGACGCAGACACTTCAATCTTCCAAAAGATTGGGGCTTTCGAGGAGGAACTAAAGGCAGTGTTACCAAAAGAAGTCGAAAATGCAAGGTCGTGGTACGAGAGTGGAAATTCCAAAATTGAGAATCAGATAAAGGACTGCAGATCTTATCCATTGTATAGGTTTGTGAGAGAAGAGTTGGGAACGAATCTACTGACAGGAGAAAAAGTGATGTCTCCGGGAGAAGAGTGCGAGAAGGTGTTCACAGCTCTGTGTGAAGGGAAGATGATCGACTCTATCTTGGAGTGCTTGAAAGAGTGGAACGGTGCTCCAATTCCCATCTGCTAAGGATTCAACATTGATGAACATATTTATAACATGAATTTGTACTTCACTATTTTTTTCAACCTTCCTCTCATCATATTTCCTTTTGCCAAAAAGAATGAAGTAATAAAATTCTTTCATAAATTCTTCCATGTTGGGTTACTCTTTTTAAATGTTTTTTCATGAAAAAGATTATGAAAAATCAAGTTTTTACATTTAAATTTGTTATGCTATATCAATTTTGTCTCAAACTTTAATGCATACATGTTTGTTTTTCTTCTTCAATTTTGATTAACCCAAATACCCCAACTTTCCATGCTAGTTGGTTATAATACCACAACTAAAATATTCGGATACCCAATTTTTGTAGCAAAATGTCATAACCAAAAATGCTATCATACCAAGTAGTTGAAGCAAGATGAGTCGCACTTACGCACCCACAAACACAAACAAAAATTAAACAAATACACAAAGATTTACGTGGTTCAGAGACAAGAAATCTTTTATATCTATGAGTGGTAGCCAATCACTATAACCAAAGTGTTTACAAGTGTATTTCTCACTCCTACCGTACAAAGTTCATCCCAATTGCATCTAGCCAAATACAAAATGACAATGACTACACTTGACTCCACATGATTTCACACCTCCGAACAATGCTAAATAATCCTAATTCTCGTACCTGAACCAAATGAAAGAAAGTATTAATCCAAATGGTTATGAACTGAGTTAATAGCTAAAATAAATAAGAATATTTAATAACCAAAATAAATAAGAATTAATAACCAAAATAAATGAGAATTATGACATCTAAGAATTATATTTTGTTGGATTGGGCTAAATTGGATGATTGAATTTTACCCGAATAATCAAGAATTTTTTTAGATGAATGATGATGAATAGTCACTGTTATTGAGATAAATAGTAATGAATGGTCATATGTTACTTAGTTAAATGGTCATTAATAGTCACGAGCTATGAAAATGAATTGTGCCAGAAATATTTTTATGTTGCATCATATATCACACAATTACTATTTGTATCTGTGGAAGCTCGTGCATGTATATGGTCATTGTCGTCTTAGGTTACCTTTACCATCACGAATTTCTTTTATGATTTCACTTCTTTTCTTTTAGCTTTGGTTATGTAAGCGTAAACCGCTGGAGGGTTGCTCCCTCCTTATGATGTTTTGTTATGGAGCCTAGCAGAGAGATGTTGACTTGTAATACCCGCTGGGTAATAACAATAAAACAAATAAATAAATTAAATAAAAGGAGGAAGCGTGTGGCAGGTGCGACCGTACCTTGCCATCGATGACGACCGTAGTAGTGAAAGACAGCTCGAGTTGACCATTTTTGAGGCCATTCAAGGGTAGAGGAGAGGTGATATGGAAAATTACTAGAAGGGGAGTAAGATTCGGATTACCTTGTTGATTGAATATCTCAAGACAAGAATATTGTTTGAGATTCGAATCACTCCACAAGCAAGATCAATCATGTCTAGCTTGAATGATTCTTGTTGATCAAATATCTCAAAGCATGAACACTTGTTTGAGATTCGAATCACTCCATAAGCAAGATTGA